CTATTGCACTTATGATTACGTATCCATTTATCGTTACTGAAACATTCACTCGTTCAGTCGTTTCGGGTACGCATATTGCGATCGATCTTTGTGAATGTCATAATTTTTATTTTAATCATAAAGTGAATCATAGTTTATTTTTTAATTCTCCCAAATGAAATAATTTCAATTTTAATATATCTTACGGAAAATATAGATAATATTTATTAGCTTTTATAACATAAAGTTGGATAGCTATACAGGTATGTTTTTGTATATGTTTATGGTATTTATTAACATAAAATTATTTTGTAATATTCTTTGCAAAATTTTAATATATAATGATAAACATATAAGTTGTTTTATGTTAAAATACATTAAAAAATGAAAAAAAGTTATTTTTTTTAATGATATTTGATGATGATTTTTTAATTATTTTAATATCTTTATATATGGAATAGTTAAAAAAGTCAATTTATATGTAAAGAAAACATAGAATTTATATTTAGAAATTACAATTTTTAACAATATAGAATTTTTAACAAATTGCTAGTTGAAAGATAAATTATTGTATATGCTAAGAAATTAATATAAAAAAAATGAATATTCAGATTAAAATTAAAATTAATTAAACGTTATTTAACTTTTAACTATTTTAACTTTTTATTTATTATTACATTTTATACTCTATTGTCAACAGTAATAGAAATATTAAAATGTTTGAACTGAATAATATTTACCGTACGTATATTTTATCTAGATATCTATTATTACATCACATAAATGACAAATTTCCTGTAATTTGGAGATGAAAATATTTTTTTATACTTCTGAAATAAACGAAATAATTACAGTTAATTATGAATATAATTATATTAATATTATATAATATATATATTTGATATAATATAATTATTTATAATTAGATGTAAACTTTTTTTCCTGGGTTATTATACGCAAATTGTGTAATAATTATTCTAAGTAATTTTAATAACGGGAAAAGTATAGGACTAATTAAGAATCAACGCTGTAACTGTGCTATCACATGAATTTTATTATTTTATTATTTTAATTTTAAAAGCAGTTGTATTAAACTTTCGAAATAATGTAACTATGATTTGCATCACTTTTTTGATATCGAATCTTTTATACAAATGATACATATTATTAGAGATGAATAATATATATTTCTTAAATATTAGTAAGATTACATAATTTTGTAATATAATATGTGGATTGAAATAAAAAACTCTTTAGTGCAAAGTTATATATTTGAGTTTTATTTTTATTTTTTGAAGAAGATGTACCTGGCACCAGTAATTAACAATAAAATTTTAAAAGAGAATTAAATAAAATAATTGTTATAACTTTGGGAAAGGAAAAGTTTTTATACTTATCATTTGGGTTTTATTTTTTAAAAGTAGTTATATATATTGAATTTTCAAGATAATGTAACCTTAACTTGGCACATTTTTTATATCAAATCTTTTATACAATGCATATTATTAAAGTTGAGTATTATATATTATTTGAATATACATTTAGACACAAAATTACGTAAATTTGTAATATAATACTTAAATTGAAATAGAAGAATTGTTGGGTGTAAAAATATGTATCTTGAATTTTATTTTTATTTTTTAAGAAGATATAATTTGCGCCAATAATGAATAATAAAATTTATGGATATAACATGGATTTAGAATAAGCACATTTTTTTATTTAGGATTGGCCTAACAACGAAAAACAATTGACAATTACTAAAACTTAAATAAATGTTAAAAATCCTTATAATACATGCTATTCGAAAAATAATAAGAATTATTTAAATATAACGAATGATCCGGAATCTACGCTCAATTTACATATAAAGTTCTTACTTTATTGTATTGATGATAAGGTATTTACTTATGTATCTTTTATGTAGTTATCTAAATACTTTTTGTCTACGTATATAAACAAATAATTACTTTTTAATTTAATAACTGTAATAATAGTTATTTACATTTCTTTCTGTATTTAAAATATTGTTTTACAATTTTGAAAATATACATACAATTTTGAAATAATTCTTCCAAAGTGTGTTTCTCTTTCTCTTTTGCTATTTCTCCAGTTTTTCGTTCTCAACTTTTATTGACAAGTATTCTAATAACATACGTGAAAAAAAGTATTGTTATGCACTATCGCTTCTATATCTACGGGCGGTACTCATAGACCATTTTAGGATCATTTTAGAATATAATAATATCAATACGGTCATCTGATTAGTTAATAATATCTTAAGACTGTATTTAAAACGATCCTAAATATAAAATTATCAAATTAAATATTTAAAAAAATTATGTTTAGAAATAATATAAAATATATCTAAATATACAATTACATACATTTTAAAAGTTACTGCATCTATAATTATTCACTTAACACGTACATCTACATTTGTATCTAATTATATTTTTTTAAAAATATTTATAACTGCATTTAATTATTTATAAAAATGTATCTCTTACAACATTGCTCTACTTCAACTTTCATTTCTGGCCATGATCAGTGAAAGGAACAATCGAGTTCTTTGAATTGTCGAGTTCGTTGAATTGACTGGCATCGGTAACTTGAACGGTTATTAAAAAAGATTTAATAAAATTTACAGTCTAATAACTTCAAATATGCTGAAAAATAAAACTATTAGAAAGAATGAATCCTAAAGCAACAAAAATTAAGGGAATGTGACAATTTTCTTATTTATAATTTTAAAAAATAAAAGAGCAAATCTCAGATTAAGATTGGAATTCATTTATAATTAAATTTTTATTTTAAGATCATTTTAAGTAATTATTAAGAGTGATTCTTAGAATTACAATAGGAAACAATAGGGTAATTAAGAATCAGCTGTAAACGGTGCAATTAACACTTTTTATTACAAAACTCCAAACGTTTCAATTCAAGTTTGAGTCATCTTCAGTATAAAAAAACTTGAAAAAAGTTTATATCTAATTATATATATATATAATTTGTAGATTTAATTATGTATGGATTTTGATCTGATCTAATTATATATAATTATATATAATCTAATATCTAATTATATATAAAATTATATATATTATATATAAATAGATAAAATTGTTTATGATTATATATGAAAAGATGAAATTATGCATACTTATGATGACAAAATTACAACTGCGTTTCAATATTGACTGCTATTACTGAAAGTCTATAATATATGTGACACCCCTTTACAGAAAAATTAGTGAAAAAATTAGTGAAAAATGAGTGAAAATTAGTGAAATTAATGAAAAAAATGAAAAAATAAAAAAGTGAGAGAAAGTGATGAAACATTTTTTCGTATCATCGCATGTTTCTAAAAGCGGCCACTCATCCATTTGGAGATCCTGCTCGATATCGCTTAACCTCTGTATTGAGATGAAACCTGCTGAAATGACGAAATAAGTGACCACCGGACCTCGGCTTAAAATATGATCTAATTGAATGAATATTACTATATTGTCATATAAATAGTCTCAATTTTAAAATCTCGATTGCATATGTAATTCTTGTAGATAATTTAATTATATATATAGAACCGTAAACCTATTATGATTAATAAGAATCATTATTCTTATGAAAATGTTTATAAATTGTGTATATTTTATTTACTTGTTAATAACTGTATTAAATATGAAAAATATTTTTCTTATTTAGTTATCAAGAGACACGGATGGTGTCTCGACGCCAAGTTCGCGCAACGAAGTTCGCGTAGAATGGCGACGAGACACCCGTGGCTCTATTTACGTGAGACCCTGGGATGTATTCGGTCTACATTTCCATCTCAGCAACGACGGCATTGATTAAGTTTTACGCTTAATCGATAGCTGAGTATCAAATTATACAAAAAAAATGTTTTTATTTTTTTCTTCGTATTCTACAAATTGAGATATCGCGACGCAAAGTTCAAATTGATAAATTTTAAGAAACGTCTTGAGGCCTTAGTCTTGAAACATATCGCATACGAAAATCTTATAATATATGTCACATAAATTATAAAATCGATATGTTTCAAGAATAGAGCCTCGGTCGTCGACCGTAGTTTTTTTTTTCTGTCGCAAGAGACGCTAATGAACATCTTTGTATGACAGCTCTTGCAGCGCTTATTTTTTTTATTGATATGTCTTTGACAGATATTCTTCATGTGAACTTATATATATTAATTAATAAAATAGAAGATATAACGTGTGTCACATATAATAGTAAGTAATACTGTAATATAATACATTAAAGAAATAGTCAAATCGGTCCACCAAAATAAATAATTTTACATTAAATTGTAAAAAAATGTTGACTAAAATTAATTTATGTCAAAATGTTTCATTACCCAATTAAATATATTTACCTAAATGTATTAAATTTACTAAATGTATTAATCTACAATCATGATTTACAAGATATATATATATATATATATATATATATATATATATTGTTACGTCCGGGGGACTTCATGAATTCTTCTCTTCTCGGAAAAAGACAACGGCTGCTAATCAGAAAATGAAGCGCTTCGAGCGATCTAAAGAAACCCTAAATACACAAAAATTCCTCTCGAGATACGTCTCACTATCAAAAAAAATAATTCTTGGGATAGACAGCTTTGTCGACACCGACAAGTTTATAACATACCAATAAAAATAAAAAATATTAACAAAAGCAAATTCCTAACGGATAAGAAACGCGTCGGATCGTTCGAGGTGACACTCCCCAAATTGGTGGGGAAACTAAGGGAAACGTCAATCAAGAAGAAACGATTAGCGGCCGTTGGCGGCCACACCAATGAATGATTGAGGGTGGAATGGCGAGAAAATTTTAACTAACTAATTCCATCATTCGTTAAGAAATCTGGAAATATAAAAACAACCACAATTCACAGAACACCCCTCCTTCCTCTATACTCACAATTTTTCTAAACTATCATTCGACAAGCCAACGCGGAAATCCATCACGCCCTCAGATATTCCCACCTCTTCGAAATCCTTTAAAAATCGCGACTTGGAGCGGATCGCCCTCTTCTCGCTTCTCATCGCTCCACGTCTTCACGGACGGAACTATCCGAGGTTGTCGCAAAATTTTTTTCTCAGTTAGAATCTGTGCGCGATTTTTTCATTTTCGTGTGATTCGATCCACGATCCAGCCTAGGCACCACACCTCTCGTCCATCATCAGTGCCCGCCACAACAAAAGTAAGTCCATTTTTATTACTCTTTCCCGCGGTAGACTGTTTGGTTCGCGACATAATTGTTTCCTTAAAACACTCCAACATTCCAAATTGGCAAGCCGCCGATTAACTCGGTGAAGCTGCCTTCCCCGATTTCTCCACATTCCGACTTGGCAAGCCGCCGATTAACTCGATGAAGCTGCCTCCCCCGATTCCACAACATTCCAACCTGGCAAGCCGCCGATTGATTCGGTGAAGCTGCCTTATCACGATTCCTCAATTTTTTTTTACTACTCTCACCTCACACTCTCTCTCATCTAACTCTTATATTTACATAGTGAACCAAACGAAAGCCATCCCGAACAAGCAAACGAAACGGGCATTGCAACACTGTCGGGAAGAAGCTAAACAAACGGATTCGTCGCGAAACCGACACGCCGAGGAACTCGCGGAGCGGTTAATCAACATAGAACCGAGACTCTCTAACATCTCTTTACAACAATACGCCACTGCCCTCCGCTTCGCGGCAGATTTCGAGAAACAACGCACTCCAGAGAACTTCGACGTGGAGAAGTTCTACGATCTCGTCCGTCAATTTCCCTACTTTCCCACCCATCCACCTCCTGGAACCTTTTACATTAAAAAGAAATTTAAACCCAACAGCCAGTTTTGGGGTCAAATCTCAAGACCCCAAGTTAACGATACCATCCCTATGTACATTTCCCGTGATCTTCTTCCCTATCTTGTTCCAGTAAAGGCTTTTCGCAGCGCTCACCCTAATCCTCCGCCACACCTGCAACCCGATCCCATCGATATGCTCGCGATTACCAATTTTTTGCTCCAATTGGAACAATTGGGTATATAGATACCAGATTTTTTGTTTTGTTATTTATTATTATTTGAAATTTTATGTATAAAATTTTTGTACTTCCATATTCAAATGTAAACATAATAAAATTTGCACCACTTCGAAAATTCTTAAAATTAACATATTGTATTTTCTTTTTTTTTATTATTAAATCAGTTAACTCGAATTCCGTCTCGATTTATTTACCCAAAAACTTGACCCCGAATCGTTCACAGCTCCCTGAGGATCACACGAGGTCTATCTCTGGTAAAAGAGATTCGGTTTCTCTGAATCAAAAAACGGATCACTGATAACGCTGGCGCAGGTAAGGGTTATAATACCGACGCTGACCCGATTCCTATCCCCTTAACGCGCGTTCGATTCGCGGATCGACCTCACGACGTCGGTCTGTGAGAGCAACGAAGGTTCCGTGCGTCCATCCGAGTTCTCCTCCTCCTGACGGAAGGTATTACCTTTCCTCCAGAACCTCAAACATAACAATATATATATATATCATAGTGATATTAATTCGTTATTCCATTTAGTAAAATATGTTGTAAAAATAAATTTTTAAGAATTATTATTTAATATCAGAAAATTTTATACGTATACGTATACGTTTAAGACAAAATTCGAACGAAATCGTCATTGTTTCAATATTTTAAAAATCAACAAACTTTTCAAACTGCAAAACAAATTTGAAACTGCGAAACAAATTTGAAACTGCAAAACAGTTAATTCAGAAATATTTAGATAATGAGTTGCAAAAACAATAAGATGCATCTCAAGATGATTCAGAAAATGCAATAGGTATGCAATATATAGAAGCGGGTAAAGTTAGGACTTTAATGATCTTGGAGTTAAAATTAAAGAAATAATAAGATGAAATAATAAGAAAATTAAACACGGATCAAAAGAGAATATTTGATAGAATTATTGGTACTTTTAAATTAGATAAATCAGTATTACGATTATATGTTAGCGTTGAAAGTGGTACTGGGAAAAGTTTTCTAATTAAGATTATTAAATGTTGGATAAAACAAAATTTTAATAAAGAAACTGCTATAGCAGCACCTACAGGTATTGCACGGTTTGACAATTCACAGATTGTTCCAATTACCTGTTGAACATGGTCATACTCCTAAATATAAACAATTATCTAATCATGTATTGAAAGTTCTACAAGCAAATTTAAATGATGTTATACTTTTATAATAGATAAATAATGTTATATTTGTATAATAGATAAAATATCAGTGATATCTAATTTAATTTTAATATATATACATCTTCGATTATCCGAAATATATTACTACTGAATGTAATAATGGCTGGTTTGACCGAAAACATATTCTTTTATTTGGAGATCTTCTTCAATTACCTCTTATACACGATGATTTTGTTTTTGTTAATTTATTGAAAGAAAAGGTTGATAAAGATGTAACAACACCTGAATCATCCCCATTATAATAATATTCGCGAATTTTATAAACATAAAATTCTCAACCCCCGACCGACCAACCATCGAGGTATCGACACAGCGATCCCTTCCGCGATCCCACCGTCGGGTAAATTCACGTCAAATACCAGACGTAGATAAACCGAAATCGCACGGCTTTACGTATACAGAGCGTGGAGAAACAATAGACGCGCCGGTTGAGCCACCGCCGCCGGCCCCGCTACCGACCGCGCCACCGAGCATCTTCGCGGAATCACTGAGCGCATTCAACGAATTATTTCGAATCTTCCGGCGAGATCGGCCCCGACCCGAGTTCGGCCGACCTGTACCTGACTACTCCCGATTGACGGCCGATTCAGGTATATTAAGCGATTCTGGTGGATAATCAGGACTATCACCGGCGAAACAGTAAAGCATCCAGTACTGCTCTCGACATTTCCATTCCTATCCAATAGCGATCTAAGGTGCTTCCTATCACGCCGGGAGCTTCTGGCCGATCGCTTCTCTCATCAGAGCACACAAGCTTCTCCACTTAAGGAGCTTCTTAACCTGGGTTCTAAAGGCAAGTCCTTGTGCGCACCATCCTCCGCTGACGGCCAAGAAGCAGGGAGTTTCCTGCATCTCCCCACTACAGCACAACAGCAAAACAGAACATCCCAATCTCAGCCCGACGAGAACGGAAAACAAGACGTGCGAACAGCTGACCGACAATAACACGCGCTCCGAGACCCCTCGCACCGTCGCGCCCGCGCGCGTCTATCACTGCGAACGCGCCGGATTCACGGAGCAGACCGCGAGCGAATCTATTGTAACAATTTCCGGAATCCACGATGCTTTTCGCGAAACAACGAAAGACCAGATTCCGGGAAAAGCGCATTGTAAATATTGTACATAAAGAAAACCTAATCAGTAACTGTAAATAATTCAGATTACCTTTAAATATAGATACTTGTACATAACAAATTAGTTTCTCGATATTTTATTTCTCTCCGAATAATCCTGACCACACTCGACCGACGCTATCCCGCGAAACACGTCGATCCAGGAGCCGCGAGGAAGTGGAAACGTTTTTAAATATATTGGCACATTAGGAACTATTTGAACTACATACTTATTTGAATGTGATGAATTGACAATTAATATGCGATAGCAAGGAGAGATGGCTTATCGTGAATTGTTATTGCGTATTGGTTTATTAACAAATTCAGATTACGAGATTCTTCAAAATAGAAAAATATCTTTAGAAATATTTCTTTTGATTCAAGATTTGATGAAATATGTAATTGTAATTATCAATTTATCAGTTCACATTATGTGTTTATTTTCTATTTGTCATATGTGTGATATGTTAAACACTTCAATAGTTGAATCGTATTGATTCAAAAGAAATATTATTAATTGCTAAAGACATGATAGATGTATATTACAGATATATTCCATACATTAAAAAAAATGTATTGAAAATATTATCAAAAAATGATGAAGATGATACTAAAACAGCTGGACTTTCTAAATAAGTTATTATTAAGATTGCAAAAATAATGATAAGACAGTAATATTGATGCTAGTTTGGGATTGGTAACGGTACAATCGCGAAAGTAATATCAATTGTTCAAGATATAAATACTAAATATGTAGAAAAGATCAAACTTTTATTACCTACAGGTTTTATTTTATTAGAATACTTGATTGAAAAAGTTATCGTTAAATTTTAAATAATGGATAGAGCTTATGTTATCAGAAAACAATTTAATTTATCATTAAATTATGGAATCACTATTCATAAAAGCCAAGGATTAAGTTTACAAAATGCTATTATGAACATTGATAATTCTGTATTTAATGCAGGCCAAGTTTGTGTTGTTTGTTTTTGATGAGTAACATCTAGAGAAGGTTCGTATTTAATTAGTTATGATTCCTCATCTATAAAAGCTACTGAAATGCAATTATTGAATAATAGATTAAAATAAAATCAGAAGCAAAATTGGTTACTATTTCAAAACAAAAATATACTAAAATAAAGATACCTTATGGACATTACCAAAAGTTATTTCTTCTATTCAAGAATCACATGAAACAATTCAGAAAAATATTATTTGGGTTATACATGGGTTCTAAAATAAGGATAAAGTTTCATCTTATCTTGCAAATGCAGTTTTGCAATGTTTTTTGCATTTAAATGTTATAAGAAAACTTTTTGAGTGTGATAAAGTAAACATTTTAGGTTTTAGGAGTTTTAGGATATTAATCTCGATATGAAAATGGAATATCTAATTTGAATATATTATATTTATAGTACAATAAGAAAGTAATTTTTCCAGTTGTATAAAACAAGATGCATCTGAATTTCTCATAGTTATTTGTGAAAAATATAATTATATAAAAAATCTAGGCATCAAATCTAAGCATCAAATATGTTCCACGGTGCAAAATTTGTGATAATACAATTATTGTTACTAATGATAATATACTTCTTTCAATTCCCATTACTAAGTTAAAGAAAAACAGTTACGATCTTAATGACTTATTAAATATTACTATTTCAAGGTGGTATCATTCTCATGGCATATGTAAAAATTGTACAGGGAAAGATACAACATTTAAAAATAAATTAACATTGAACACGAAATATCATTCATTTAAAATTATTTTCAGAATAAAATTCAGAATAAATTAATAAAAATAAATCAATTTAACTTGCGTGCAGTATCAATAATTACAATATCAGTAGGGGGATAATTTTATAAGGTAATGAATGCCATTTTTCATTATAAATTATCTATTGAAGATGATCATTATACAAGTACGTGTAGAGATGAAACGTCTAACATCTAAAATTTCTTTTATTATTCCCCCTACCGGAAATATATTCAGGTTCGATCCCTGGCTGAGGTTTCTCTGGTGATATTTTTCGCAATATATATTTCCGGTGGCGAGGACAAAAAGGATTTTAATCGATATCAATAATATTGATTATCGAATTATTATAGAGCCACTACATTGAAAGTCTACTAAACCAAAGCAGCACGTAGTTGGTAATATAATTAATTGAATTTATTTCATATTAAAACACTTTAGCAACCAAGATCCTGCTTGCCGAGGAAATGCCATGTTTCGCATTGTAGTTTCGCATTGTAGTTGTTAGTTAACATGTACTCGGCCTATATCTATGTATTGTTTATTCGTACCTCGGCTGAAGAAGACGTTTGAATATTGCGATTATTTGAATATTGCGATAAATATTACCTCAGTGGTCTAGTGGATAAGATGCTTGCCCGGAAAGCAGGTGATCCAGGTTCGATCCCTGGCTGAGGTGATATTTTTCGCAATATATATTTCCGGTGGCGGGGATAATAAAAGGGATTTTAATCGATATCAATAATATCGATCATCGAATTATTATAGAGTCACTACGTTGAAAGTCTGCTAAAAGTAGTATATGCGTTGCCATGGCCCGTCAAAACAAACTCCCATCACTTTCCCACTGGCGCCAGGGGCGTGGTCTCCCGCTGTCAAAAACTATCAGTCACGTGGAAATGAAGAGTTCTGAATGGTCGGTGGGCGTGGCAGGTGATAATTAGTGGGGACGTTCTGACTGGCTAAAGCCAAAGCTGCCTGGAGCGTGATTGGCTCTGTTCCATGTGTGTGATTGGTCATCGAAGTGCCAAACGAAATAGTAAGGGAAGCGGGAGAAAGTGTCTGAGACCGCTCGGAGTCCGAAAACAAAATGGCATCTGCGAAAAAGAAAGATGGCGGATGCGTGAAATGAATATACT